GGGTAACGGACTAGTCCGCCCGAACAGTCACGTCCGGCAAGCCAAAACAAAAGAGTGCAGTGCGAGTTCCAGTGCAGTCTTTTGCTCTGTTGCTTAAGTGTCTTCAAATCTTACTTTGCTGCAAGCTGCTTGCACGCTGTAGCTCAGGTGTCAGTTGCGTGGTGTAGGACTTGCTGTGAACATATCAGGTTTGCATATTCTCGAACGAAGAAAGCCAGAAGTCCTTGTCGAGCGAAGTTCATTTGTTTCGAAACATTCTCAAAGATTTATGCAAGACGCGTGATGTGATGGCGTGGCAAGACGCAATGTAGAAACCAATTTGGCGTGAGCAGGCCTCGTCGACGGCGATTGCCGCACTCGGTCCTAATGAAATCCACAAGAAGCAACAATGAACAAAAAAACAACTAATAAACGGTGAAACGAGCTGCAACCAACAGACTTGGCTGGCAAGAGTCGTTCAGCAGTGAATTACCCGTCTCATATCAACATCGTCCTCTCTCAGATGCCCGGTTTTCCAGATTTCAGGGTTGCGCAATGGCAAGTACATCGCCCCGCTTCTGGCTCTTGTAGTACACTGGGCCAGCGGAAACTCCAATCTTAATCGGTTTGGAAACCCAGAGTTCGGAAAACACAAACAAACTCCACCTGCAACTGCCCATTGCTGGCCTCTGGAAGAAATTGGTTTCTACGTTGCTCTCTGACTTCCTGCTATTTGTCAGGCTATTGCTACTAGTTCGGTAAGCTTCTTGTGTCGATTTGCCAGGGACTTACCGCACTTCCTGATTTTGAAGTTGAGGTGAGTGCCTAGCGGCATCACACGCCTTCTTCGTGGCTACTCTCTTCTTGGATACGATTCGGGTTCCCCGTGTCCCGACTCGGACGCGGCGTCTGAGGAAAGTGACAACAAGCGCCCTTGTAGACGCATCAAGGCCTACTCTAGGACGGTGTGACTTCCTCTTTGTTGATTTCCTAACGGCGGTGCGGCTTTTGCCGTACCTTGCAATCCTTCTCTCTGGCGTGTGGGTTCTTCAATCCGCTCTGATTTCCTGTGGGACCTCAAGTCGCCTGCGCCTTGTTGCCGCTCTGGCACCTTGCNNACTTGCATACCCAGCTGTCTTACTCTCCACCTTGAAGCTGCCAGTATGAGCCGCGGCCTATGCTTTTTGTCATCTTTTTTAAAGCGGTGCATCCGAAGTCGCCATTTTGTCACTTTACCGCTGCTGACTCAGACGATGTTGTCGGTCGACGAACAAGATAGAGTTGACGGTAACGCCTGTCTTGCACTTTTTTGGAAAGGTGGAAGGAGCAGGGTCGTTCAAGTTTTGCACCTCCGGTTGTGACTCGAGAACTTGCGATGTCCGAACCCCACGAGCCGCCAGCGGCCTTTTGGAGGCTGCGCAGGTCGCTGAGCTCGCCGGACATGTCTTCCAGAGCGAAGCAATTGGAACACACGTGCTGGAAATTGTTGCGCTGGATCGCTGGGCTGTCTGCGACGTTCGTTTTTGGTTCGCCGTGTTGTTTGATCGCAAGATGGTGTCGTGTGTTGCGGCAAGTGGGACTTGTAGTCCGGTGCGAGAAGCGACAACTACTTGCGTCACCATGTGTTCCCAGCATGTGTTTTACAGAGTTTGACGTGGAAATTTCATCAGCTGTGTTCACATTTTGATGCTCATGCTTCTGGTTCAAGTTGTTACAATGCTGGACATGTTGAATGTCGCAGTCGCAGCCAAGCAGATGAAACCAAATCAACAACATCGTGTACGTGAGGGCATGCAGAAGATCATATTTCAAGCCACAGCTTGCCACGTGCAACGTAGGCTTTCATGCATGCAAAGCTTTGACTCTGCCACGAGCCGGAGGAACCGAGCGGTAAGTTGCCACAGTTGCAACCAGATTGTACTGTTGCGAGCGCAAGTCAGTTTTCCGGCGCCTGCATTTATGAGAGGAGAGAATGTCGGATGCGTACAAGTACAACTTCTTGTGTCCGAGTCCCAGCTGGAACCATTGAATTGGCCTATTTTCACCTTGTTTTCATGTGGTGCCCAGGTGAACATGTGCAGGAGGCATCCCAGATGACGAAGGTTGCCTCCATGCATCGTGCTGAAAGTCATGGCTGCAATTCTGGAATCCGAGTTTGTCTGAGGAATTTCTCCTGACAGTTTACAGCAAGCATAATGGCAGTCCGAATGAGCTTTCACTGCATCCGCCCCAGATCTCGCGAAAGATCGCGGAACTCAGAGCAGGGCCTTGAGTCCTCAGGTACGACACGAAGTCCAAGCGCCTTTTCTTGAAGCGAGGAGCTTCTAGACTGCAAGGAGACCATCAGCGCCGTGAGCTGAGCATCTAAACCTGGCTTTGAGCAGGTTTATGACCAAGATGGTGCTTTCAGACTGGAAGATTTGTTTATCGCCCGTGCCCCAGCGAACGACGTTTGAGAAGCCGGCTGCTGAAAGAATTTGTAGCTAAGCGGGTTATGGGCCATGGGCCATGGGCAATTACTTTTCTTGCCCGAAGCAGTGTGAAACGCGCTGAGGGTGCCGAATTGACCGTGTGCGGCCGAAAATTGAAGTTTGGCCCTCGCTCTTTGATTCAACTCCCTGTGATGTTTGTCTCATCGGCTCGCACTGCAGGGTAATTGCGTATGGCGACGTGCCGACCCAACATTTGTTCGAGAAAAATTGCGAACAGGCTGGAGCGCTGCTGGTCGGCTCTGTTTGAGTACTTGGACGCAGTTTTTTCCGTGGAGGTCTACACCGTCATAGCAGGTGCTGCGCTTGCAGATCTGGGGAATCTTTTCACGGTGGCCTACGACAGCGGCTTCACCGTCAAGCGTGTCCTGGGCCAAGAGTGAATCCTTGTGGTATGGGCCGGGTAGGCGTTCCTGTACCGGGAGGTCAAGACCCTCACGACTGGGGACATGAGTGTCCACGCAGAGTTGGTTGGACTTGCCCTCGGAAAGTCCCGGAGAGTACGATTGGCATTGCACTGCAGCTTTGTCGGTCTTGCACTTTCCAACCAACGCAAATCACCAGGTCCGGGTGGTGTTGAAGGCTGGCGCGAGGCCCGACGACTCCGAGAAGTCTCGCTGTGCTGTTGGCTCATTGGCTTGGCAGGCAGTGGGGAAAAGTCTCGGCGAGGATACGGCGCGAGCCGGGCTCTGCAGTGAACCGCGTCCCGGCTTTCCGCCAAGCGTGCCCAAGCTGCCAAAGCCTCAGGCCGTTCAAGTAGAAACCGTCGGCTTGGACAGTGAGAAGGCTGAGGAAGAGCTTCGATGCGAAGAGGTGTTTCTGCTTTCTCTTCCTGCAGGTTTTTGCAAGCAAAGACTGCTCAGCGACTTTCGATAGTTGCTCCCTTTGCATCATAAGGCTGGGGCCTCGACACCCTGATCCTTCTAGGGCTAGAGCTGTGGCAAGATCTGCTCTCTGCCATCGGGCCTGTGTTGGCAAGGCCTCATGCAATCCGGGAAGGAAAGGTGCGAGCTTTGTCGTCAGTTTGAAGTTGCTTGCAGCCTTCAGCCCGCAACTTGTCTCGTTTTGTGAAAACCCCCTCTTCTTGCAGGTGGGATCCGTCATCTCGGCAATCATGGAGACCGGGCCGGGGCTCTTTGAGAGTTGAAGGTTTAGGGTCTAACACGTCCCTAGGGCCCTAGGCGGCCTTAGCCCTGCAATTGGTTCCAGGTTGCAGATCTCAGCGATGCAGACCTACGTGCTGCTGAAAAGCCAGGCGGAAAACTTCTACGAGGCCCCGTGGCTGTGGGCGTGGGTCACTTTGAAGTGCCTCTCGACCGAGGTGTACAAGACGGTTCTTCCTAGTGCCAAGAGCCCAGAGCAAGAGCCAACGCAACTCAGAAACTGCTCGCCTTCGCCTGAGGCGCAGTACGCCTCGATGATCACAGAGCTGGCTTCAGGCCTTTGCCTGGCTATGGAGGCCCGATGTTGACGATGCTGTTGTGGCATCAAACTGCGGATGTTCTCCTTGCAGGTGCGAGGAGAGAACGTGGTGCCCAGGCACCACAAGCGTTTGCAAGTCCAGCATGTGTGACAGCGAGCAGGCTAATCAGACTCGACATTCAGGTTAAGAGAGCTGTGCGGCCCGTTTGACATTGAAATTGCCAAGCTCTGCCCCGAGTCATGAACATTTCCTGTCGGCTCACGGGACGATGCCTTCGGTGTCCTCTGCTGTCAGCGTTTCAGGCACCTGCGCCCCAACACCATCCGGGCCTGTCACGGTGAGCCAGCCCAAAGATATGGATCAATGCAGCAGCCGCCGACTTTCATGAGCCTCTTTGAGCCTGCAGCACACCCGCATGGACAGGACGCAACAACGTCCACAATGTGGTGCACTGCACAGATCTTGCAGAGGACAGTCTAACCTTAGACACGCTGTGCTGACCGTATAGTCATAGTCACAGCATGGCGTTTGTGTAATCAGACCTGGTCGATTGCTTTTCACTGAAGCTGTTTCATGGACCTGAGCTTGTGCACCAGCCGACTGCGACTGGAGATCGCTGGTGGTACTTTGTTTTGATATCTGTAGCAAAACAAGCATCTCGAGGCTTTCAAACCAACGTTTGCAGAAAGGTTTCCAGCGAGGCCATGGGGAGAATCTCGTGAGTCCGGTGCCCGCGGCTACGACAAGCTGGAGCTGTTTCTCGGCTGGTTTGCAGGAGCATCTGCGCGGATTCTTAGTTAGGCTCGGCGGTGGGCTACTTCTATACTTCTATAATGGCGATAGGCATACATGGGTACGTGGGATGGGGACTTGCGGCTCAAGATTTTCCCAACGTCGTTGTTTTGGATTTGCGGAGCTGGCGTGGGTGGGACGGTCACCACCTGTGTTCATGCCTCGGAGTTGTGCGGTGGATGTAGAAGGCCCTGCTGTTTTGGAGGGCTCGGGGTCGGCAATGCCTTGTCGGACCCCTGATCAAAGATTCATTGGCTTTATTTGTTTTCTTCCCGAATGTCACGGCAGGCTGCTGACAGAGGCATTCCTTTATGTTCAGTCTTCTTTGCGGTCTTTGGCAATGGCTTCTGGAAAAGGAGGACGGCGCTTCATGCATGCACAATGATGTCATGATTGGGTGTAGAGAGCTGGTGTACTGCCAACACAGCGAGGAGTCGTGTGAGACAGTGATGCTCGCAGGAGCGACGTATGGTTTTACTTGGTGTGGACAATGCTGGCAAGACTACCACCTTAGAAAAGCTGAAGTCGCTGTTCGGCCTCAAAGGCATGCCGCCGGAGAGGCCGCTCAAGCGGCGGTTGTGCTGTTTGCTCCTTTTACAAAAACGGTGCAGTTTGATTAGGATTCCACCAACCATCGGCTTCAATATCGGACGCATCCAGATCGACAAGGCGAGACGAAAGCTTCAACCAGAAATTCTCAGCGTTTGCGAGGTGTGCTCCGTTCTCGTCAGGTGATTGCCGTGTTCTGGGACCTCGGCGGCCATTCCTCTTTCCGGTCGGTGTGGCACAACTACTATTCCGAAGTGCAAGGCTCTTCTTTCACACACTCTGCCCATGCGCTTTCTCGTGGTGTCTTTGCCGCAGGTGTCATGTTCATCGTGGACTCGGCTGATCCCATCCGGATTGAAGAGGCCAAGGCAACCCTGGTGGAAGTGATCAACCACGACAAGCTCAAGGGCGTGCCGCTGCTGTGCCTGGCCAACAAGCAGGACAAGCCGGAAGCCCTCAGTATCCAGGACACGACAGTGAAGAGCAGCTACATGACCTTCTGTGTGTGTTCGGGCTTGGTAGTTCCAGAATCCCCGTGACTGTGTGTCTTGGTGTTGTCGAAGTTTCGGGCGACTCTGCTGCGTAGGAGCTCTCACGACTCTTCGAGTTCGAGCGGCTCTTCAGTGAGCGGCCCTTCCACGTCCACCCCTGCTGCGCGCTGCAGGGCCAGGGACTCGAGGCCGGAGTCAGGCGCGGAGCGAGGGAAAGGGCTGCAGCTGGTAAGAGGGCTCAGGATTTAGGGTTTATAGGATTCTATAGGGTTTTGGGGCTTAGGGCTTAGAGGGCTCAGGGCAGTGCGGCAGCACTCCCCGAAAGCGTCACTTGCCCAAGTGGTCCTCTCTTAGGTGGCTCTTGGCGGAAGCTGACAAGTTCGCTCGTCAAAGCATGCAGCAGAAATGACGTTGCCAACATCATCCAACATCATACTGGTCGAGTCTTTTCGAGCAGAGACGTTGACGTGCAGCAGGGCCTCATCGAGAAGGATGGTCGTCGTGCAGTCAGTGCTATGAGCCGTGCCGGCTGCAGCCCGCTGCTGTGTGAACCAGCTGGATTTGCATTCGCTTCCAGCACGACATGGAGAAAATTTGCTGCTGCGAAGTGTTTACTGCGTTCTGTTCTGGCGACTGACTAGAGTGACTAGAGTCAGCGAGTCACAACCGCCAGGACGGCGTCCTGGAGTGCCAGACTCTCACTCCTTTCCAGTCGCCATTGACACCTGGCTGCAGTGTCACCGTGCCAGCCCAGGCCAGTACTTCTTCTCGATCTTGCCGACAGCATCGTGACAGTCCAAGTCCAAGGCCAGGCAGCCCAGCCAGAAGACTCAGAAGGGGGTCTCAGTCGCTAAGCTGTTCTCCCGATTGACTTTCCACAGACCTCCAGCAGGTACGTCCGAACAAGTTCGTTTCACCTCGAATGCCATGCGCCCTGGTCACTCCTCAGGTCGTGGATTTCTGCTTGCTTGTCTCAGTGGTGCTACTCTATAGAATGTTTTCTGAGGTGGAATCTTGCTGTTGGGCACTCTATAGTAGTTTCACCTGTATGACCAAAACTCACCCGTGGCCGCAGGCCATGTTCAAGTCTCACCCACCTTGGAATGAGTTGACGCACCACTGGATAAAAAGGCACTAACCAACCTCTTGCAAGCTCGCAGATGTTTGAGATAGGTTTCTGTTGCACGTTCATGATCTGTTCATGATCTGTATTGGTTGATTGTTCTTGCTGCAGGCTGAATCGTTCGTCGTAGAGTGTGCCTTTTTCCTCAAGGCCATCGTCTAAACTTGATGTTTTCTACCACTGACCGAAAGTAAGAGAATTCGACCAGCAAGTCGCACAAATCATCAAAAACTTCACCGTTCTTCCATGCAGCGGACATCCATCTGTTGAGCTTGAGCTTAGGCCCGTTTCCCAAAAAGTGTTTCCTTTTGAAGGGCAGATGACCCAAACTTGGCGCGGTCACCATTTCGTGGTCGATTCTTTGCACGAAAGCCAGGGGAGCATGGCCTCGCACTCCGTGCACTATACTCTACTGGCTCTAGTGCACGTTTTGGACCTACTTCCGCCACGAGCATGCGACACCTTGCAGCTGCTCTGGCCTTTTGCTTGAGGAGAGTATATTATCAGTCCAGGCCGGTTCAATTCAAAAAGCGAGACTTCTCTTTAGGTGCCGCATGCTCCCTGACGACCGTCCGTGATAGTCCCTCACCAGAGCGACCACACCGGAACCGCCGCACAGCGGCGCGCACTTCCATGCTGCTTGCACTCGCCACGGTGTTGATGGTATACCGACTGCGTTGCCGAAGGATCCCACCACAGATGCCGTGGTCGGTGGGGAACCCTCGCCTTTCAGGGTCTGCACTGGACGCCAAAGTCCCCGACCGCTCGCGATCTGCTGTTGTGGTATATGGCCTTCTTTGTGGCCGAAAACGGTGTAAGCCGAACCAACATGAACTAACTCGTCACTTGCGAGTCTGGATCGCAAATTCTCGGTGGCCCGATGAGCCAGAGACACGCAGCGGACTTTACCAACTGCAAACTGGCGAACAATATATATGCCACTATGGAGACGTCAGGGTGGAGCTGCAACAGCATTGCTACGACACAGTCCAGCTGCACCACGCTAAGCATGGGCAGGCGCTCAGTCATCTGCTGCAGTCACCTTACGGAAACGACCTGGCGAAGCTTGAGCCGTAGCAGATTCAACAGGTTGCCGATGATACGGCTCTGCTCCAACCTGGGATGGCAGCTCGTCCCGTCGATGAGGTCATGCCACATCGCCAACGTGTCTCCAAAGGCACGTGTACCGAAAAGAAGTGGGGCATGTGGACACCTCCGACGCGGCAGCGGCGGCCACTGCACCACGCACGGTACGGTCGCGCGGTTTCAGCCTCGCCCAGCCACATCGACTTGAACACGAGCGTCCGCCACAGTCGGCGTTGTAGGTTGTGTTTACGTTCGCCGGCAAAGGAGGCTATAGCCGTTGCTCGAGTTGGTTTCTACAGTCACCTACCGTGTGCCCGCAGGCGGCAGACGGCGGGTACCTCTTCCTGCCACCTGGCATCTGCGAGGAACTCGTGTAGGTCAGGTTCAGCGCCTTCGCATAGCTCGGCGGCCGGTGGGAGCTCACGCGTGATGCATTGTTAGATTTTATACAACTATGAAAATTGAACGGGTTTTGTTCAGAATGAGTCTGACGTGACGTCATGCTCCACCGCAGTTGGACACACGGTTGCGTTCTTTTGCCTGCTCCTCAAAGGCGCCACCTTGTGGCACGCAGGACTTGACCTCTTGCTTTGAGCAAGCCTGCCGCTTCGATGGTAGTGCTATCAGTCGATGGGGTCGGCGCTTTCGACCTCACAAGCAGACAAGCCATGCTCGCAGCCCTCCGCGACACGCACGATGCCCATGCCAATGCCTTCCTGCCACTTGTACGGCTCGCCATCCGCAATCTGCGAGGCGCCGTGCTGTGACGTGATTCCTGGTCCCGGCACTGACACGCGAAGGGCGCCGACGACCCTGCTTGACGACCAGGGAATCATGATGGTGAGCCACATTGCAAGTGCAGAGGTCGCTGCAATCAAGAACTCTTCCAAGAAGCTGCTAGCCGTAACCAAGCCCAAGCCTACAAAGAAACCGATGCCATCACCGCCGATGATCTGGGCCAGGACGAGGAGAACAGGGAGGATTTTCTTTCCATGCCGTGGTCCGAAGCCGCTCCGAGCGGTCAAGCTTCGGATGTTCTCCCGGTGCCTCGTTCTCCCCATAGCGGCTGCCATCATCGGCCATTGCAAATCCAATCTTCAGGTGGCCCTTTTTCACAGAGTCCCGAACCCGAGCTCCTCCGGCGAGGACCGCAGAGGCTGCGCGTGCTTACGTGCGAGACCGCAAAGCGTTGGAACGATGAGTCGCTCCGACTCGTCGCTCAGCCCGCCCCTGCTCCGTTACGGGGAGCCAGAGATGCATGCGCTCCGCAGCCCCGCTCGGCGAGGCCTGGTGCTGCGACGTCACGCTCGTGTCCCCGCTGACGCCGGACGGGCGCCCGCAGCCTTCTGCCGCGTCGCGCGACGGTGCCCTGATCGTTGTCGCTGAGAGGCGCAAGCCGCGCAGCGACCCCGAGTTGTTGCAACCTGGAGCCCAGGGGCTCTGCATCCTTGCTTGCGAGGCTGGTGGGTGCTGGAGCGCCGCATCGCCCCGCTTCGTTTCGCAGCTCGTACGGCTCCAAGCCCGCTCCTACCGCCCTGCGCAGCGCCGCTAGACAGGGCTGGCTGCACCGCTGTGCGGGCTGCGACCCTGCTGGGCAGGCCATACGTTGCTGGAGCCATACCTGGTCTTGCCACTTTGTCCGGGCCGCCTGCCCCAAAAAAGCGACGCCAGGCCCGCAGGACTTACTGCCTCAGACCGGACTGGCCTCACAGCGCCCGCGACTGTCGGGTTCCTAGCATGCCAGCCTACGGGCGCCGCTCAGGTCTGAAGTGGGGGTCTGAGTCGCCCGCCCGCAAGCGGCCAGTCTCCACTACCCTGAGCAGCGCCCGTAGTAAAAAGAGTGTCTCTTTTGCATGCATGTGCCCGTGTTGACGAGAGTACACGAACATGTCCAGAGAACGCACCACGTAACCTTTCCTTTTTATGTTATCGTGGTGTTTTCTAGCTTGTTGCTTGCGCGCATGTAGCTCTCGGCTGCAACATGCATGCGCAGATTCTTCAGACACCGCACCCACCCGCCCGTGTGGCACGCATTCGCGCCTCCATTCGCACTGATTTACAAGTTCCAAGTAGAACGCCATGCTACCTTCAACCGCCTGTTCTTTTTACGTTAGTCTCACAAAGACGGGGGGTCTGAGTCGCCCGCCCTCAAGCAGCACCCGTAAAAAAAGAGTGTCTCTTCTGCATGCATGTGCAAGTGTTGTGACGAGAGTACGTGAACATGTCTAGAGAGCTACCAGCTACGACAGCCGCCTATGCTTCCTCGCGTGACGCGGCCGTAGGCTGCTGCCTCTCAGCGCTCTTCCGCCACGCAGCCTGATGGGCTTCCCGGGTGGACACCGCCGGTCAGCCATCTCTAATCTGCCGGCGCAGTCCCGACATGACGAGCTCGCCGATTTCCTGCGTGGACGGCAGAGCAGAGCCTCCCACCTGCGATGAGCGCACACTCGAGACGCCTTGCTGGCTTGTCCCCTGCGTCCCGAGCGCTGCTGTTCTCGCAAGCTGGTCCTCACGCGGCTCGAGCATTCACGATGTTGCCCACGTCGGATGACGTTGCCATACCCGACTCACACTTGTCCGCCGCCAGTCAGTGGGCAACGGCTGCATCGTGTGCTGCTGCATAAGTGGCGGTGAGGGAGGGGGGCAAGATGCGCAGCAGGTAGTTGGCACGCGAAACGGCGCAAGCGGCCTGCAAGTCGTCGAGGCCAGGGACACGCTGGAGAAGTCGGTCGTGGTCCTCGCGTTGGCGCTCCAGGTGCCTGGCGACAAAAGCGGGTCGTGCCCGAGGGAAGAACCGAGCACAATGATCTTTGGTGGGAGAGACCAGTCCCCGACCCAGACGCGTCATCTCCACTCAGGTCGGCGATGTTGCTCGGCTCCTCGCCGGCGGAGTTCCAGATCCGCGTTTTGCCCTCATGGAGACGAATCCGCGCACGGTGCCACACGGCACCTATTTCTATTTCCCCCCCTTCCATTCTACCGAAAATTGTGCCGAAAATTGGTCGCACGGTAGGTAACCCCCCCTAGCAAATACCTTTGTGAGGGGGTCCCCATAAAACAAACCGTTCGAATTTTCGCCCAAGCCTTATTGTTTGAGTTTCTTTACACGCACCGTTTTCCTGGTGCCTCTACAGCGTCCGTGGTTTTCCCACTGAACTTCGAGCGGCAGACGACTCGCCGCATTGCGTTCGGCGCGGAGGATAAGCGACCCGGGGTCCGACCACCACCTGAACGCGCACCCACGGGCCAACAACCCCGGGCGGGGGCTGGCAAGGGCGTGGTCCCCGTATATATTTGCCGTCCGCAGCCAAGGCTGGTGCCGCAACGGTTCCAGCCGGCAGAGTTTTTCTCGACGACATTTTTTTTGTACGCACCTTTTTCTGCAACTGCGAAGCAAGCGTCTGCCAAGAGCTCGTGCAGAGCTGGGCGGGCCAGCAGCACCAAGCTCCGGTTGGGAGGGAAAATTCCAGGAAAGAGGCAGCGAGCGCACGCGGCGCCGCAACGGAGATGAGGCCACTCTTCAGCGGAGAACCCATGTGGCTTGGGCGGAGTTGCGGAAAGGGGCAGCGGCACTGGCTGCAATTGCCCGGGCGGCGAGGAGGCGAACAAAGGTTACGGCGTCCTCAGCCCAGCCTCCGCTCACATCGAGTTCGAACACGACGGCTGCGGTCGATCTCGGCGTTTGCGTCGCGTGGCATTGCGGACGGCCCAACCTGGGTGGTAGTCGGCTCCGTCATGCGGGCGGCCATCTCGGGTCACTGGGCTGACGTCAATGGCAAGCTGTGCTCCGTGCCGGGGCGGCAGGCCTTTGCAGACGACCTCGATGCGCCGCGCATCGTGGACCGGAACATCGATGTTCATGCCCGTTTCGTGCCCCAGCTTCTTGGCAGACGTTGGCGATGGCACGTTCGAGGGGATCACACTGCCCAGCTCGCGCAGCGGTTGGGGGCCAAGAGGTCTTGGCCCCTCCGATCGCTTTGCCGCGCATTGGGCCTCGTGGTGCGACACCTTGCCCGTCATCCGTGCCCGTGCCTTGGCTGCGGCGGACCGGCTGCTTGGTGCTGTCCGCGGCGACAGCGCCCTCCCCTCGACCGCAGCCGCCGTCCTTGCGCAGGCGCATCTGCGCGCTCTCGGCTGTGATGCGTTGGAAAAGCTGCCGCGATCCTTGGCCTTGCAAGGGCTCGCAGTGCCTCGCTGCCCGCACCTGCGATGCGCGCGCCCTGCTGCTGTCGCGGGCATGATACTCGATGTGCCGGTTTCGGACGAACGGCGCATTGAGTCGTCGCCAACGGCTTGCCTCTGCGGCATGGCTCACAGCTCGCCGTGGACGCCATCGTCTGCCCCGTCACACGGCGCGGCGAGCCCCAGCCGGCAGCTTCGGTGCCGAGACCGTACAGCTGCTGCGCTTCCTCGCGCGACACCGGGCCGCCGACGTCCCTCCGCAATTGCGGCCCTCCGCGACTGTCGCCTGGATCTCGCGCTGGTCTGGGCTTTTGGCTGTCGTTTCCCCGCGATCCATTGAGAGTCATTAAACCCCTCAGACCCCCCCCTCAAATATCAAAATGCTGTAACAGACCGGCGTACCCATTTCC